CCCTGGGCCAACCCACCACAGGCTTTGATGGCACCCCCATCCCCTACACATACACCCCTCCTTTCTTCTGCTGATTGTTCGCAAGTGACTCAGAGCTGCCTCCCAGTCGGCTGGTGCTCTTTTAGGAAAGGAAAATTCAGTGGCCCACATAAAAATCGCTTTAATAAAGTGCAAAAATATTCCACCAACTGTATTCCCACCATCTGTTTTGCTCGTGATTCTTCTGAAAAGCGCAATTCTCTGTGCCTCTTTGGCCTTTGTCCTTTAAAAGCTGCCAGAGGCGACTCCCTGCTGCTCTTAATGGGGCCTCCTCTGCTCCCAGACACACAGGCTGGCAGTCTGGCCAACTTAAAGGCTGCCCTTGTGTAGTGTCTGGTGGCCGGGCCCCCTGGTTTGTGCAACTGCAGGAAGACTTGAAATTTCTGGAGCAGAGGGAACGGCCAGGCCTGGGTTCCAGTCCGAGCTCAAACACCTGCAGTTCCCTGCACCTTGCCAAGCCTCAGTGTCTACATCCAGGAGTGGGTGTAAATATTCCCTTGTGGAGTAACTGAGAGGCTTCAATCAGTCACACCTTCGAGAGTTCCAAGTCCCTCCCCATCTCCTCTCCCACCCACCCCACTTAACGCCCAAGCTCACACCCTGCTTCACCCACTTTGAACTTCTCCCCGATCATCAACACGCATGTCCTTTTCATATCTCTATACCTTTGCCTCTATCTCTTTTCCACTTCCTGGAACATCCTTCCCTTCCCTTCTGTGCCTCCCAAGCTCTTATTCCTCCTGTATCCTCCAACAAAATGACTTTTAACACCCGCCTCTCTCACCAAGTGGTACTGATACTATATGTGCACTTTCCCAGTTATTTTAACATAATCACTGTGTTCATTGCCCCCACAGGGCTCAGCTCCTCCAGGATGGGTCCTAGGTCTGTCTCCTTCCTGCTGAATCCCAGCTCCCTGCATGATGCTTGGTCCATGGTGGTTTGGTCATGGGGCTGGGGTGGGCAGTAGAATAAGGGTTTATCAGGTCTGGGCTTCAGGATCAGACATTCCCTCTCTGGGTAGCTGTGAGCAATTCCCTTCACTTCTCTAAGTCTCATCCCCTTTGATTCTAAGATGGAAATTGTAAAACTAGTATTTTCTCAAGGGGCTGCCATGAGGATCCAATGCCCTGACACTGAGAATCACGGCGTGCAGTTTGGAATGCATATTCTGTAGTATTATTGGCAACAAGGGGAAGCCCTTTGGGAACTGCAGTGTGCCCCCCATGTCTAAGAGATGATGGGGATGCTACGGGTCAAAATTGGCTAGGGCAGCACTCACATCCAAGGAAAGACTGTCCTTCCTGGATAGGCTAGAGCTCCCATCTTACAGATGAGGCAATGGAGGCCCCCAAATAATCAGTAACAAAAGAGGGAGTCCTGCGGAGATGTGCCCTTCCCATGGCTGACTTCTATCCTAGTCCTGCCGATCCCTGGGTCTGGAGGAAGAGAGGAAGCAGGATTCAGATGCAGGATGTAAATTTGTGATTGTCTATGAATATTCGACAGCTCTTGAGTTATTTGCGGCACTTCTGTCAGGCTGGAAAATATATTCATGTAGCTGCTCTGTTGGCTTAGGCGAGAAACATTTGTTCTTCTTTGTCTCCTTTTTTTTTTTTTTAATAGAAAAATGTTTACTTTTTACATCTGCCACTTAGTTTGGGTACTGAACACCCTAAACATGCTAAATCTCTTGAACCTCAAGAGACTACTTCCAAACAGAAAAAGAGTGGGCGGTTGACACCCCCAATCCTATTTTCACCCCCTTCCCCAAAATAAATTATTGTGGTAGGAGGGAGCAGGGAAGGAGGGGGTTATGAGAAATGTTTTCTGGCTTAATAGAGCCAATCCCAGAACCAGTAAGCCCCCAGCCTGGAAGGGGAGAATCTCCGTGCGGAGGGAAGCTGCATCCTGTCTGGGGGTCTCGGTGGCATGTGGGGGGTCTCTGCTCAGGGCACCTCTCTCTGGTGCTGCTGCCCCATCGCGGGCACAGGGGCAGGGGCTGCTCACCTTTGACACTTCCAGAGGGTGGTGGCTGGTCCCTGCCCTCATTAATTCATGATGGCCAGAGGAGAGACTTCTCTGGAGGCCTTGGGTTGGAGGGAGCAGAAGAGAAGCAAGCCCAGGGAGGCTCAGAAAGTGAACAGTGTGGCTCTCTAGATGCACCTTTCTCTGGAAGCTCCAGACTGACGCACTGGTACTCGGGGAGAAAGCTGCAGCAGGGTCCTTCCACACCGTGTGGTCTTAGCTCCGACCCCAGGGGGACCTCTAAACAGAGGTGGAGGTAGATTCCAACACAGGAATCTGTGTATTGATTCCCCCAAAGTCTAGGCATGCAGGTTCTCTCCCCATGGAGACTCTCCCCTTCCAGGCCCGTGGCTTACCGGTTCCGAGGTCGGCTCTATTAAGCCAGAAAACATTTCTCATAACCCCCTTCTCCCCCTGCTCCCTTTTTGAAAATACAGGAACCCCATGCATACACAAAAATGTTATACAGACTGCCCTCCGCCCCCATCGCAGCAATCATTGTGAAAAAACCCTTTGGTGGACAGTAATGACCAAAAGCTGCTATAAATTCAACAGCACTTTTCAGTTTCACTTGTTTTGTGACAGTCTCTATACACATTGAGGAGAAAGTAGCACACACATGTGGGTGACTTTTTTCTCAGCCCTCGACTGATGCTTGGGGGAGTGTGCAAATTTGTGGAGCCCCGAGCACCAAGCCCAGGTCTAGTCAGCCCTGGTGGGTGACAATGAGGGGGCTGCAGCATCCCTCCCACCTGTACTGAGCACTGCCCTCTTTCCCAGGTGACTGACTGGAGAAAGGCTTCTCCCAGCAGGTGAGACCCAGCTCCCACTCTTCTCTACCCCAATCCATCACCATTAGCCTGACCTTGTCCAGTGACAGGCCTGTTGCTTTAAGCAGGAAGCCGGGGCCAGCTTTGACGACGCCTAAACACCTGATAAATCTTTCCAACCTGCTTTCTGCCAGTGATGTAACACGTTGCTTTAAGGATGTGTGCAGATGGAGTCACAGTGAATATTCCCTGAGTTTCACCACCATTATTTTCTGTAAACATTTCAGCTTTGTTGTTGTTGTTCAGTTGCTAAGCTGTGTCCGATTCTTTGTGACCCCATGGACTGCAGCACAGGAAGGCTCCCCTGTCCTTCACTATCTCCTAGAGTTGGCTCAAATTCATGTCCATTGAATGGATGATGCTATCTATCCATCTCATCTTCTGCCATCCTCTTCTCCTCCTGCCTTCAATCTTTCCCAGCATCAGGGTCTTTTCCCAGTGAGTTGGTTCTTCATATCAGGTAGCCAAAGAATTGGAGCTTCAGCTTCAGCATCAGTCCTTCCAATGAATATTCAGGGTTGATTTCCTTTAGGATGGACTGGTTGGATCTCCTTGCAGTCCAAGGGACTCTCAAGAGTCTTCTGCAACACCACAATTCGAAAGCATCAATTCTTCAGTGCTTGGCATTCTTTATGGTCCAGCTGTCACATCCAGACATGACTACTGGAAAAACCATAGCTTTTACTATGTAGACCTTTGTCTGCAGAGTGCTATCTCTGCTTTTTAATACACTTTCTAGGTTTGTCATAGCTTTTCTTCCAAGGAGCAAGTGTCTTTTAATTTCATGGCTGCAGTCACTGTCCGCAGTGATTTTGGAGTCCAAAAAGAGAAAATCTGTCACTGCTTCCACTTTTTTCTCTGCTATTTGCCATGAAGTGATGGGTCTGGATTCCATGATCTTAGTTTTCTGAATGTTGGGGTTTAAGCCAATTTTTTCACTCTCCTCTTTTACCCTCATCAAGAGACTCTTTATTTCCTCTTCACTTTCTGCCATTAGAGTGACATCATCTGCATATTTGAGGTTATTGATATTTCTCCCGGCAATCTTGATTCCAGCTTGTGATTCATCCAGCCCAGCATTTGATATGAGGTACTCTGCATATAAGTTAGATAAACAGGGTGACAATATACAGCATTGCCATATTCCTTTTCCAATTTCTAACCAGTCAGTTGTTCCATGTCCGGTTCTTACTGTTGCTTCTCAAATTGGTCTTTCTCCTGTGCCCTTTGTCACCTCAGCTTTTATATGGAGCTCAACTCAAATACCTTATCCCCAAGAACCTGTCCCTCATCACCTTGACGAAAAAATGCCCCCAGTAACTGTTACTTCCTCTTTATCTCATCACCCTATTTTTGTTTTCTTCACAGAGCTTGTCAATATCTGGCATTGTTTATTGATTCATCTGTGTGCCTGTCTATCCCCACTAGAGTGGAAGCTCCCTGAAAACAGAGACTTTCCCAGTGACGGCCCCTTGCAGACTTTAACTATCAGTATAAATACAAATCAATGGAATATACCCAATATTAAAAAGCAAATCAGCTGTAAAGCTGATCATTGTCCCCAGGTCTCCCAGATGCCCCACCCCAACTCTTTCTTTCCCAACATGCTAGGTAAATGGTACAGCCAAGATTTGAACCCAGGACTCCAAAGTCAACCTGTTTACCACCAGGTTTAACCCTCTCCCCCAAAACAGCCTCCTGCCCATTGGCCTAGCCACTAGAATGTAAGTTCTAGAACTGCACTGTCTGATATGGTAGCCACTAGGTTAGTGGTTAAATAATTCTATTTTAAATAGAATTTAAAATCCAGTCCCTTATCATGCCAGTACCACACCAGAGCTCAGCATCCACCGATGGCAAGCTGCTACCCTGGCTGACGGATAGGTAGAGAACATCACCATTACTGCGCAAGTTCTCTTGGATGGCGTTGTCCTAAAGGAGCAGGATCTCGTCGGCTTTGTTCACTATTTCCCCCGCACTTAGAACAGTGTTCAGTTCATGATTTTTATCAGGTGAACGAATGAATGATGACACCCTTGCAGAGAATCCCTCCCCACCCCGCACTCTCCTCTGCAGCTGATCATTTCTCCTTTCTTCCCACAGGGAAGGATGAAGCCAGCAGCGTGGAGGTGACATGGCCAGATGGCAAGATGGCCAGCAGGAACGTGGCCAGCTCGGAGATGAACTCGGTGCTGGAGATTCCCTATCCCCGGGATGATGACAGACCTCAGAACCCAGCCAGCCTGGAGGTGAGTGGAGGCATCTGGACCTCAGAGCCAAACAAGCAGGCCCCTCCCACAACCCTGCGGGCTGAAGCTGGATTCCTAGGAATTGCAGACTTTGTTTCTAGAATGATGGAAATCTTCTTAGCAAAGGGCAGGCTTCATAGTGACTCCTCCATTTGTAGTTTCCACACCACTATCACACCCACAGCTCTTCTACTCCTCAAAGACATCCTAGAGGATTTCTTTGGAAATGTGTTGGAGGGGCAAGCATTTTTCACCCATTTTACAGAGAAGGTAAACTGAGACCAAGAAAGAGAACCCACCAAAACTGCACAGCCATTTGTGAGCAGAGTTAAGGACTGGCCCCAGGTCTCCTGCTTCATCTCTGATTCTTTCCAAGGCTCTGACACAGCCTCCTGGTTGCCTCTGCGGACTCCTAGGAAAAGCTCTGGGCCCCTGTCCAGAGAGGATCACGCCATTGCAGATAATAGGAGCCACTTAAACTCACACAGACAAGGGGACTTACAGGGAGGTTCCAGGGGAGCTCACGAAAAGCAAGGGACACTCGGGATGAGCTAGAGCCATGGCAGTTTGGTGGCCCCAGGAGCTCATGGACCTCTGTCTTTAGTGCACTGGCTCTGGGGGGAGCATTATCCTCAGTAATCCTCACCAGCAGCCATCATTCATCAGTTCCAACAGTCGACATTTTCTGTCTTGTGTAAAGTGTTCTGAGTCCCAACCACCGCCCCCAGCCACCAGGCTGCTGAGACCTCCACAGAGACCTAGCGAAGCCCCCACAGCCTAGAGTGACCAGGCTCCTCTGTCTTCGCCTCACTTAGATCAAATTCCAGCTGCAATGCCTTTGAGTCAGTCCTCCGGATGAGATGTCCACCTCTTATCCAGCCAGCCCTGCCCCAAGGTGGGCTGATGGCCTGGCTCACAGGCACCCTGGCCCCAGGAGTGGGGAAGGTTCTCAGAGAAAGGGGTGTGGGGAGTGACCTTGTCCAGCCCTCTTTACACTTTGCCTTTCTGAGACCCAGCTTGCCTCAGGTGATGCCATAGGAGGGACAGACTCTGTTGGGGGTCACGGGGCAGGCCTATGGATCCCACGTGAGGGAAATGAGCAGGAGTTTGTTCAGGCTGTTCTTGGCCTTCCCCCTGGGTCTCCCTTCATCAGTGCAAGGGAATCCTGGCATGAGGGGCTCTCCCTGATTCAGAGCTGCCAGCAGTCCTTTATTGTGGGGTCAGGGTGACAGCTGCTCTGTGGCTGTGACTGGGAGGGGACCTGAGATGGGATCTTCTCAACTCACTAGTGTCTCTGCTTTTGCCCATCTTGCAGTGCGGCCAAGGATTCTCCCAGCAGGAAAATGGCCATTGTGCGGGTGAGTTGCCTGCAGGTACCAGAGGCCAGAATCTCGCTGGGGAGGGTCAGCCTGGGCCCTGGAAGACTCAGGTTGCAGACAAGGGCGGTGGGAGCGGTGAGAAGGGGAATGTGTTGTTTGTCTCTGGGGCTTTAGATGCCAAGACAACCGCCAGGTGACTCGGCAAGGTGGGAATGATGGTAGCAGCCTGCAGGCTGAATCACTACAACTCTGGGAATTGGCAGCACTTCCCTGCCATGAATACAGAGAGAACAATCACCAGGAGGAGACACAACTGCCTAGGCAGAGCACACAGGGAGGCCTGGCTCCTGGAAGCCACAGTGGGTGGGCATGCATCCTCCATCCAGCACAGCAGCCAGCAAAGGGGCTGGCAGGCAAGAGTGGGCATGGCTAGCCAGGGGGCATTGGAGCAAACCAGGATGTGGCATGTGGTCACAGCTCAGAAGGGAGATTGTGGCCTTTTGCAGTATTGGGGGGCAGGTAACTGCAGCACAGCCACACTCTGTGAGGCAGCTCTGTGAGGATCCGGGGACCTCCTAAAACCTCCCAAAGGCCTGGAATGGGCAAGGGTAGCCTAGAGGCTCAGCACCGAGAAAACTTTCAACCCCATGTCTTCCATCCTAAGGACCAGCAGTGAGGAGTCAGGCCAAGGACTCCACCTGCCCTTAGATGCCTGAGCATTCTTCCCAAGGCCCCTCTGCAGCCACTCATCAGCCCCAGGTGAATGGTTTGCTCTGAGATGGGGAGTGGACAAGACAATCCCTGCCCTCTTGCAGCTTAGAGCCAGTGGGACGGACGCACAGAGAAACAGGTTGACCACACAGCCTGGGCAGAGCTTGTGCGGAGGGGGTGCTATAGGAGCACAAAGGTGGGGTGCTAAACCAGTCTAGTGAGGGTACAAGAAGGTGCCCCAGAGATAGTTTAGGTCTGAGCTGAGACCTGAGGGGTGATGAGGAGCTTGCCAGTCAGTGGCGAGAAAGTGTTCCAATGGAGGGTACTGCCTGGGCAAAGGACCATAGGTGAGAAGTGGCGAGGATGCCTGGAAGAGTGGCTTGAGGAAGAAATTAGTTCCCTCCGCTCCTCATGTCCATACCGTGACCACTCTAAACAGACGGTGCACATACCCATAAATTCCAGCATCTTCCCCATGTGCTGGGAAGACCCTGTGACCTCTGCAGTGCAGCCGCCTCTTCATTTCATCACCCAGAAGACATTTGGGTGCCTCCTGCCCAGCACCTTATGTGGGGAGCTGGGGGTGCAGGTCAGGCATCTGCCCTGGAGGGGTGTTCATTCTAGTCGGGCAGACCGACCACAAACCACGTGACCCAAGAGCTGGACAAGATGAGTTAAGAGCCGTTTAAGCAAGGTGCCCTCTGAAGACTCTTCTAGAAGATGTGGGCAGGGAGAGGACCTTTGAGCTGATACCTGAAGGTCAGGAAGGGTCCAGCCATAGAAAGAGTGGAGGGAGGAGCTTGCCCAGCAGAGGGGAGAGCGGGAGCAAAGACCATGCGGCAGGAGAAAAACTTAGTGTGTGAAATGGACAGGAAGGAGGCCGGAGTGCTGGGAGAGGATGGACGAGCCAGATGCCACATCAGGGAGGATCTGGAGTCCCCAGGAGGGAGTCTGGACTTTGTTCTCAGGGCCCTTTGCAGTTAAGCAAGAGTGTGGCATGGTATGGTTCATATTTTTAGCAATCACCTGGCTGCTGAATTGCAGATAGGATTGGAGGAAGTGGGGAAGCTGGGAGGCCTGGGGAGTGGGTAGGGGTGTGGTGAGGGGGAGGGGGAAGGGGAGAATGCAGCTGCAGAAATCCAGGCAAGAGCTGCTGGTGGCTGGGGACAGGCTGGTGGCAGAGGAGTGAGAGGGAGGTGGTCAGATGGGAGAGGTACGATGGGCCAGAATTGACAGGATCTGTTGTTAAATCGCCTGCAAATTAAGGAAACTGGAAGAATCAGGAATCTCTCCGATGTCTGCTTGAGCAGCCGAGAGACTGATTGTGGCCTTGATTGAGCTGGGGAGGATGGGAACAGGGGACAGAAGAGGCTCAAAGGCCAGGGGATCTAGAGTTCCATTTCAGCCTAGTAAGTCTGAGATGCATGGTAGACATTCATGAGTCTGGAGCCCCAAGGAGAGGTCATAGCTCAAGATAGGAGGCCTGGAATCATCCATATGTGAGAAATTGTGGGAGATAGAAAAGAAGACCCAGGACAACATGAGTGCCCTCAAGGTGTAAAGGTCAAGTATAGGAGGAGCCAGCCAAGAAGACTGAGCAAGTTGAGGCCCAGGGAGAAGGGACATGCCCAAGGTCATGGCGGGAGTGGGGAAGCAGAACCTGAGCAAGGACCCACTGCCCCCAGCCCCCAGTGAGCGGCTCCCCTCGCCTTTCAGACACCAACGAATGCATCCAGTTCCCATTCGTGTGCCCTCGAGACAAGCCCGTGTGTGTCAACACGTACGGAAGCTACAGGTGCCGGACCAACAAGAGATGCAGTCGGGGCTATGAGCCCAATGAGGACGGCACGGCCTGTGTGGGTGAGTGGGGCCCTGTCCACCGTTCAGTAGCAAAGGGAACTTGCCATCCACTGGGGAGCTCTGGGAGGCCCCAAATTGAGGTTCTCAGCTCCTGCCTTCTCCTGGCTGGAGGGCATCTCCCTAGACCTTTGTGGGGTCTCCAAGGAAGACCATGACAGGCTTGGAGAAGCCCCACCACTACTGCCATCAAGTGAAGGGCCCCTGGGGTGCTGTGTCCTGGCCAGAAGCCATTGCTCTTCCTGTTTCTCCCTTTCCTGAAACTAATGTTCCTACCTTAGGGTCAGCCCACATTTTCTTACCTGGGATATAGACTAGCTCCTGCTCACCTTTGTCTGAATTTCTGAACTGGTATTTGTCTTCTTCCTCCCAAATGCTTCCCCCACCCCCACCCCACCCCTATTCCCCTTCTCTTTTCCCCATTTTCTGTCTCCCCACTCCATCCTTTTTGCAGCTCAAGTTGCCTTTTTAGGTGGGTATCCTTCTGCCGCCTTTAGAATCTCTGAGCCTCTCTCTTGGGCCTCATCTCTTTCTCTAGGCCTTGGACTTTGCCTTCAGTTATATGCACTTTAAATTCCATCAATAAAGAAAAAAAAAACTAACAATCTTTGTGGAAAACTAAATCTCTCCCGCTGCCTGTCTTTCTCCATGCCCAGTAGATTCTGCTGCGTGCTCCCTCTGAATGGACAGCGGGGGTGGCCATCTTTGAAAAGGGAAGTTTGGGAGATGCTGATATTTGTGTCACCTTTAGTTGTTTGTGAAGTCTTTCTTTGCATGTCTTCTGAGAACATGTTTTTTACCCCATCCAGCCTCCCTCACTCCTTCAGAAGAATCAAGATAGTCCTGTCTTTTCTGTATCCTCCAGTGCCATGAGCGGCTTATTTTGCCCTTAACAAAGATGGCTCCCAGGCGGTTGCTTGCTCAGTTGAGTTGACAGTGTGTTTCGTGCCTGCTGGTCTGGCCTGTGCTGTTTCTGCTCTGCGGGCCCTGAGTGCCTGTGGTAGAGAAAGCCATATCGGGGTTGCTGGTGATGATGGGGGGTGGGGGGAAGGGTGGCCATTTGGGACTCTTGATAAAAAATGTTAAAGTTTGAACTTGCTAAGTCTTCCAGTCTCTTTCTGAAGAAATTATACCAATAAACTCTCTGCTGGATATTAATGTCTAGCTGGTGAAAAAAAAAAAAAGTGTCCGAGGCAAGCAGAGCTGGTTGGAATGCTGAATTAGCAGCAGCCCTTCCATCACGTGGCCCTTGGAAAGCGTATCATGATACAGAGAAAGTGTCTGCCCCAGGCATGAGCAATGGTTAGGTTTGTGTACAAATGTTCACTTGGGGGACACTGGGGTTTGGACCAGGTGAGGCATGTGGAATGAGCAAGGGACAGACGTGGAGGGAATGCTCTGGGGCAGTCACTTCTCCTGTCTGGGCCTCAGTATCCCGCATGTGAACGGCAGCAGAGTTGGGCTGGTGTATCCCTAAGGGCCTTTTCCTTTCTAAGACCCCTGAAAATGTGGCTGGACATTGGCATACCTAGTGTCAGATTATCCTAACTTCTAGAAGGAACTTCGGAGAAGGCAATGGTGCCCCACTCCAGTGCTCTTGCCTGGAAAATCCCATGGACAGAGGAGCCTGGTAGGCTGCAGTCCATGGGGTCACAAAGAGTCGGACACGATTGAGCGACTTCACTTTCACTTTTCACTTTCATGCATTGGAGAAGGAAATGGCAACCCACTCCAGTGTTCTTGTCTGGAGAGTCCCAGAGACAGGGGAGCCTGGTGGGCTGCCGTCTATGGGGTCACACAGAGTCGGACACGACTGAAGCGACTTAGCAGCAGCAGCAGCAGAAAGAACCTTATGGTTTGATCTCTCCTGCAATATGCTTGGAAACCTGGAAGTTCCGGAAAGCCTCACTTTTAGTAATGATGTAACACCTTAGAATACTTTCATGACCAGCTTCAGTAGTGCAAGAGCCTTATAAATCACAGATCTATTCTTTATGTGACTGGGAAAAAAGGCACACCCCAAGATATAATAAAATCACTCTTAAGAAAGCCACCAACCCTTTAAAAAAATATATTTAACAAAAAACTACCATATTCTGATATAATAATAATATGCCCCATAAGTCACAAAATATTAATTCCTCATTGCTAGTGTTGTTTTTACACTTGGAACAGGAGCTAAAATGAAAAGTTTTAAAATAAAAACAGCTACAATCTCACAGAAAAGCATACACCCACTTAAAAATCATTCCGCATCTGGGAAGCCCTCTCCCGTGTGTCGACACAGAATTAAAGATCTGAACGGGTCCTAGAAATGAGACTCAGGGAGAGGGAAAGATCAGCCCAAGGTCATGAGCCAGCTTGCCCCCAAGCCAGGGCTGGAGCCCTCTGCCACCACCCTATTTTGTTGGGGGGGTGGGTAACAGACAGTGCTGTCACCATTCAGACGATTCCCCCGTCATTCTGGAAGATGCTGCCTTTTTTAGAGATGAACAAGTGGATCTATGATAATGAGATAAGTAAAACCCAAAACCCACAGAGACTATGGTTCCAAATGCAATGGTAATAACAAGATAATGGTGTTCACTGACTTCCTGCACACACAGCACGAGAAATAAGGGCTAAGACAGCTAGTGTGAGAGCCTGACAAGGACATCAGGAGAGCTGAGGTGACAGCAGACTTCAGAGGATGACTTATAAGTAATAACCTCGAATTCCTGCACATTGAGTTTCATATAAGCGGGTGTATTTGTGTGGTTTTACCCTACTAGGTGGGTGGGGCCAGATGAGTTACAAAGAGGAGTTCAAAATCCCTCCAGCTATTAAAAGCACAACTATAATATCCTGACTCCAGGGTATTAGATTCATACCCTGAATTATATTCGTTCTTTTGTTCATTCAGTCTTTCAACACATATTGGTTGAGCACCTGTTATGTGCCAGGTACTGTGCTAGGCTCTGGGAGTGCAGTGGTGAGTAAAGGTGACATGGTTGCTGTCCCCATATTGTCTTCCACCAGCCAGATGGAGGAGCCCAGTACACAAGATGGCAATGGGACTCAGACTCAGAGGGGCTTTCTAAAAAGTGTAACTAAATTCTTGGATCACTGTTCCAGAAAGCTAACTCTGCATTCACTCCTATATTTATTGAACAATCATTAATTGAAGGAGAAGGAAGTGGCAAATCACTCCAGTATCCTTGCCTGGAAAATCCCATGGACCGAGGGCCTGGTGGGCTGCAATCCATGGGGTCACAAAGAGTTGGGCACAACTGAGCAACTAACAGAATCATTTATTGAAAACCTCCTGTGTGACGAGCACATGAGAACTGTGACATGAGTACCCTCCCATGAGTACTGTGACAAGGTCCCTCCTTTGAGGGTGTCAAGTTCCCTGCCCCCAAGATGCTTGGGTTGGAAGAAATAGGAGGCGAAAAGACACAGATGACAGGCAGGTACTGAACCGACTCAGCCTCACCTGCCTCCAAATAACAACACCCACCCCGCCCCACAGTGGGCCAGGAGGGCGTCTTTCAAGCCCAGGGCCTCAGTGTTGGACTTTTCTGATCTGTCCTGAACTGGCCAGGCTCAGAGTCCGTCTTCCTTCTAATTCCTCTTGCTCTGAGGCCCTTGGGCACCCAAATCCTTCTGAAAGTGTTAGTCACTTATGGACAGTAGCCCTTTGTCCATGGGATTCTCCAGGCAAGAATACCGGAGTGGGTAGCCATGCCTTCTGCAGGGGATCTTCCTGACCCAGGGATCAAACCCACATCTCCTGCATTGCAGGCAGATTCTTTACCATCTGAGCCACCAGGGAAGCCACCACCTTTGCCTTCTGAGCATGAACAATTCAGTCTCTCTTTTTTTTTTTTTTTTTTTTGATGATAGCCCCACCCAGGCTCCGGACATTTTTGTTGGCTTCTCCTGGGCCTGAGTTTATAACAAAAATAGCAGATGCCTTCAGGGGCTGACAAATAATGGCAGGGGCTAGAAAGGATTATGCAAATAGAGAGCTGAAGCACTAAAGGGGCTCATCTAAGCAGAGCAGGAAGAGGGGCCAGCTCAGCCAGAACTTCCCATTTTTCAAGAAAAACCAAATAATGATAACAATACCATTTTTACTCTGTCCAAGGATATTCCTCTTCCCAGGAAGAATCTCTCTTAGTCGTTCAGTCGTGTCCAACTCTTTGCAACCCGCTGGACTGTTAGCCCATCAGGCTTCTCTGTCCATGGGATTTCCCAGGCAAGAATACTGGAGTGGGTTACCATTTCCTTCTGCAGGGGATCTTCCCCATCTAGGGATTGAACCCCTGTCTCCTGTGTCTCCTGCATTGCAGGCAGATTCTTTACCTGCTGAGCAATCAGGGAAGCTGATCTTCCCAGGAATGTACTACCTAAAATGATGATACTAGCCTCATTTAGTGAGTGCTTGGTATTTCTGGGTCAGATCTGAACTCTTTACAAGGATCAACTTGTTGAATCTGCATACAGTTCCCAGAGGAAGGTGCTGTAGTCGTCCCAGTCTTACAGAGATGCTGAGTGCTGGGTGCAGGGTCACTCGGTTGGGGTGGGCAGAGGCAGGACTCCATCGGGGTGGTATGGCCTCAGCTGGCACTCTTCCTTCTCCATTCGAGCTAGCCGACTGGTTACACAAAAGCACGATCTCTCCTGCTGCCCAGGGCCAAGGGAGGGTTTGGAAAGAAGGTTTGGAAAGGATTCCTTAGGGGTGGCCCAGGATCTGAGAGTTGTCCTTACAGTCTCGTTCAACCTGCAAGAAGAGATGTCATTCCCTGTGTGGAGTCCCCTCACCAGGCACACAATCAGCCATGTGACCTCTTCAAGCATCTGCTCAGCAGCCAGCCCTGCTCTGGGGAGGTGCCATTCTGAGGGCCAGGAGTTTGATTATGTGTCACTCTGGCTGCTATGGCCCCCTCCCAGGGTCTGGGCATCACACCTTGACCAGCACTGGACAGCAACTTAAGCAGGGGTTCCACTCCCACCTGCAAACAGGGCCCTTGGGCATCATTCCAGAGTCACAGGAGACAGGAGGACAAGGGCTTCTCTTTCTCAGGGAGCCAGCTGGTGTTTTCCAGCAGATTCCCGAAGGACACCCCCACCCAGACTCTCAGCCCTTGAGGCAAGCCGCGTTCCTCCCTTTCCCTCCCTCCCCAGGGTCAGCCATAGTCTCACTCCCTTGGTGTGGACCAGACCCCAGCCACGTCCTGCCAGGAGCTAATGTTGCGTCTCCTTAGCAACGAGCACATCCTAGAAGGAGGAGGGAGGAGGGTGAGAGAATGCGGGCTGGTTAACTCCATAGGTAATGTCAACCCCTCCTTCAGCACTTGTCCTGTGAAGGAACCACTGTTGAACAGCAGAGTGGCCAAAGGGTAGGCCATCAGAGAACAATGAGAAGCAAGAAGAAAGAACCCTCCTCGGGGAAGGGAGCTAACATTTACAGAATGCCTGCTCTGTGCTGAGAACTGTACATCCGCGTCTCCGTTCATCCCCACATCCATCCTACAGGATAGCTGATATTATTCTATTTTACGACCAAAGGAACTGAGCATCAGAAACAA